TTGAAATTCCTTGAAGATAATATTTCTTGATTTTTATCGAGAGTCTTCTTAAGTGGCTTTGGTCATTTAAGATGTAATTAACTATAGGGGGTTGCCCTTATAGGAAGCATGTCCGAACCCAGCTTAACATAAACCCTATTTAATCCTTTATATTAAATAGGGGAACTTGTCGGCAAATACAAAGGTTTCACAAACCAAACGGACACCATACTTTCCTTAGTTTATTTGATCGAGCCTCATCCTCAATTCTTGTTTTTATCCTTTGGAATAGATATAGGATTTGAGGTACAGTGCTCTTTCATTTTAAACTATGAAAAATATGGGGTCAGTTTAATGTCCTTCCGAAGCGGGCGATGGGATTTTGATTCCAGCGACCGACAGCTTCTTACGGGCAACCCCACAAACCATGCCCGAAATAACGGTGACATATACACCATGAGATTGATTATCTTAAGAGTATATGCCAAGCAGTTGGTAGCAATTTTTGTAGCACTTTGGATTTTCCCCTCATATTTACTGCTATTACTTGACATCCAAATGAACCATGTAGTAATAAAGAAGATCATTTAAGCATGGTTCCCTTTCCAAACTTTCCAGCATTCAAGGAAGTTTCCAAAATTCAGTAAATGGGAAGGGAAACTAAGATTAGCAGCTACCTGTGTCGAAACCCCTTGAGCAATAGGACAAGAAAAAACACATGATTTAAGGATTCCTCTTGTTGCCAACAGAAAGTACATCTTGAAGGTCCTTTCAGAACCTTGATTTTGAGTATATCATCATTGGGAATAATGTTATGAAAACATCTCCAGGTGAAGAAGAACATAGAGGGGCTGAGGTATTTCACCCACATGGCATTACCCCAATCCTTATAGTGCCAATTGTTTAATTGTTAGTATGCAAATCTGGTAAAAGAAGTATGAAGAGGATTTTTATTTACAATTTTATCTTGTTTCAATGGATTAATTGGGACCTTAAGAATTTAAAACACTTGTTCAGGATTCACCATAGAAGCCAGCATGTCTCTATTCCAAAGATGATTATTCCAGCAAAGATGATAGGGGTGTTGATAGCTGAGTCCAAAGAGGTTGTTGGTTCCAATTTACCCTCCAGAAGCCAATTATCTAACCAAAATTCAACTTTTCCTTCTCCCACATCCCAGATAAAGAGGTCTTCAGCCACACATCTAATATGCAGGAGCTCAGTCCAAATTCTAGACAAATTCTAGAAATTCTAGAATCCCCAGATTTTCTACAGGTAATTGATTGATGGGAGTGTTTGTAATATTTTAACTTCATCTAGTTAGCCCACAAAGGATTCTGTTCTCTAAATTTAATTCAGAGTTTGCAATAGAAGATTTCATGGAGCTATTGGAAGGATTTCATGCCAAGCCTCGCTGCTGTTAGAGGCGGACAAAGCTTCTCCCAACTAAACCAGTGAGCTTGTTTAAGATTGCCTTCCCACAAAAATTTATTCAACATAACCTCTAGAGTTTTCTGTATACCTCTTTTCATTTTCAGCATTTGCAAAATATACATAGGGAACGAAGCCAGGATACTTTTAATTAAGGTAGTCTTCCTCCCTGAGACAAAAATGAATTAGTCCAACAAGAGGTTTGTTTGGAGATTTTAGAAACCACCTCATCAAATTGAGTTTGCTTCCTCCTTCCTTTAATTAACTGTACCCCAAGATAAACCAAGGGGCTGATAGTAGATTTAAAACTAGTGAAATCTTTAATCCAGTTGTTGGTAGCAGGATTTAGCTTATTGCTAAATATCATTTGACATTTCTTTGAATTCAGAGAGAGGCCAGAGATCTGTTGGAATAAGTTCAGCAGATTAACTACCTTCTTCACTGCTGGTTTTGAGCCCTTAGAAAGCAGTATGAAGTCATTAGCATAACATAGATGACTTACGAAAAAATTTACTTTATTAGAAAATCTGAGATATTCCCTTTCAGAAAAATTATCTTTAAGAAGCCTAGATAAGTAATACATAACCAAAATGAAAATGTAAGGAGAAAGGGGGTCCCCTTATTTAATTCCCCTAGTAGCTTGGAACTGCCCTTGAGAATTCCCATTAATAAGAATGGTATAATAATTATTGTTGAGCCACCGTGGATGATGTGGATGATTTGGTAGAAGGAATTTTGAAACCCCCTAGCGTTAAGAACCTTCAAGATAAAACTCTAATTGATAGTGTTATAAGCTTTTGAGATGTCCAGCTTATATATAAGATTACCTCCTCTGCAAGGCTTGTCAATATCTAGCAAGATTTCCTATGTAAATAACACATTATCAGTAATTTGTCTTCCTGTAAAAAAAGCAGACTAATTAGGAGAGATCATCCAAGATAAATGTGGTTTTAATCTAAAAACCAAAAGCTTGCTAATAAGTTTAGACAGCACAGTGGTGTGAGAGATGAGTCTAAAATGATCCTAATTAGATTTTTGGTCTCCCTTTATAATTAAAGTAATGGTGGATTGAGCAAAGTAATGTGGCATATCCTCCCCTCTGAAGAAGGCCTGGACAGCTTCCACAACGTTAAATTTAATCACCTCCCAAGTTTTTATGTAGAAAGTAGAAGTAAAACCATCTGCACCAGCCACCTTGTCACCATCAATAGAACATAAAGCTTTCCAAATTTCTTCCTCGGTAGGAATAAATGTTAAATGCAGGCAGTGGATGTCAGAGAATTTATCATTAAGTAAGCTAGGGTCAAAGTTCAGGAGAGTAGCCTCATGGGGTTTAGATAAAAGGTTTTGAAAGTGATCAATAGGATCTCTGTAAATTAGATCAGTACCTTGGACCCAAATTCTATTGTGGTTTTTAATCTTCAGGATGGTGTTGGAATGTCTTCTTTGTTTAATACAGGCATGGTAAGACTTTGTATTTCTATCCCCATCAACAAATTTTTTGATGGTAGCCTTCTGTTTATAGAACTCTTCCTCCCAGTGAATAACTTGAAGCAGATTCGCATTAGCTAATATCAGGTTCTGTTCATCAGAGAGCCCCATCTGAATGCTTAATTCAGTTTGTTTCACAGCAGCTTCAGCCTCTTCCACTTTTGCTGTAAGGTTGCCAATGCAGTTCCAATTCCAAGCTTTCAGCAATTTAGCAACTTTTTTTTGAATTTGCCATAGTTTAATCCAAGGAGGGAAGGAGGAAACAGGTACCCAAACAGACTTAATAAAGGAGATGAATTCAGGATGTTCAACCCAAACATTAAAGAATCTAAATCTTGGTAAGGGAGCAACAATATTAGGGGATATAGAGATAAGCAAAGGCCTATGATCAGAACATGTGTAAGGAAGATGGGAAATTGTAGTCATAAAGTTGGTATCCAACCAAGCTTGATTAACCAGGAATCTATCAATTCGTTTAAAAAGTTTTCCTCTTCTCCAAGTGTCCAGAGGTCCCTGATGAGGAAGTTCAACAAGGACAGTGTTCCTGATGTTCTGATTAAAGAGTAACATTTGTGTAATGTCCATAGGATTTTTCATTCAATCTAGCTATACTGTGAAAGTCTCCACCAAAGATCCAAGGTCCATTAATATAGATTTGAGATGCTGGATTTGTTGCCATAATAAAGCTTTATCATTTGCAAAAATCCCAGCATAAATGAATGTAGTCTGAACATGTAGAAAATCCCATATAAGCTAGATATGAAGAAATTGAGGTTGGTCATTCAAGATCTGAACATTCAGGTTACTCCTATAGAAAAACCAAATTTTGTTATTAATATTGTAATTACAGTTGAAACTTGGGAAGTGTTTTCTAAATCTGCAAGGAGTGCATTGAACCAAAGGTTCAAGAATAGTAAAACACAATAACCTGTGCTTCCTTACCACCTGTCTAATTCTGATCAAAGATTTCTGATTAGAAATCCCCCTGATGTTCCAGCACATCAAATTAATCTTCTAAAAGGAAATGGAAACCCAAGGATTGCTATCCAAACAATCCAAAAAAATGACCAGTGATTTGCTGACATGAGACATATGAAGGAAATAAAAGGACTCCCATATCTTTCAAGAAAGTTGGTAGAGAGCAGAAAGAAATCTACCAACACCCAAAGACTAGAAAGATCCTTTCTCAAATTATTATTGTTGTCAAAACAAACCAAAAGATGGACGAGTGACTTATTGAATTGAATCAAAGGCAAAGAAGTAGACAGTCTTCCATATCTTCTTAGATATAGAGTATATAAATGTTGATAAGAGTCTGCCATCACCCAAAGGCCAAAGAAACCCATTCTCAACATATAACAACTGAAGTTAAGGAAAAAAATTAAAGGACTTCTGAAAGACATAAAGTGACCAGAGGTTAATAACCAAACCAAATAGAATTTAAGCATTTTTAGGGTAAAGATGGGGTGAAGGTTGTGATTTGGATCTGGTTTTCCCTCTAGAGGGTCTAGGAGATGATCCAACCTTCACAATATTGCATATGGAAGCTGCCTCTCTTTGTAATCTTTGAGCTTCTGTGGTTTGTTTTTTCTTTCTCTTAGAGGTCTGCATAACCCAATCCTCCCCCAAAAGGTGATTCAAATCAGCAACCTTTTCTCCTTCAATCACATGATGCAATTGCTGTTCCTGAATTGGTTCCTGCAGCCTCTCCTCAAAGGAATCAACTGTGGGGGAAATTATAGTAATGATATTGGGTTCCTCTCTTAGCACTTCCTTAGGAGGAGAAGGAGGAGTAATAGAAATAAAGGGGGTTGGAGAGTTCTGAGCCTCATCTTGTAAGCCATCCTCATTAACCTCAAGAAGTTGAATGGGGGAAATTTCCTTCAAAGAAGACTGTTTCCTTTTCACTGGAGGGTGTAGCCTATAGCACCTATCTATAGTGTGCCCAAACATCTTGTAATGTTGACAATAATAAGGCCTTTGCTCAAGGATTACCTCCTGCCAAAAGCCATCCTGTTCAGAGCCTATCCAAACTCTATTAATTTCAGGCAAGGTGATATCTCTTTCAATGAAAATTCTAGCAAGAGCAGGCCTTGCCTTGTTATAAGTGTGAGCATCTACTTTAAGGGGTCTGCCTAAAGCAGACCTAATATTTAAAAGGGCATTAAACTTGAAGTAGGGAATAGGGAGACCATGAAGCTTGAACCAAAGAGGAACCACAGGAGGTTCTTTGCTAAGATAAAAGCTAGGAGTCCATATCAAAAGTTTCATGGTAGCCCCCCAATAACTAAAGATTTCTTGGCAAACAGTTCAGCATGATCGTCTTCTATTGTCAATTGAATAAGCAAATGCCTGCCATCTAGTAACCCCAGCTGCCAAGCACCAGTAAAGTTTAAGAACTCAAAAAAACTCCTTACAAGTTCCATCTTAGGGTGACCAAGCTGAAATTTCCCTACCAAAGTCAGCTTAACCTCATCATTTAATGAAATAACTTCCTGAGGAGAGAAATAAACTGTAGGTTCCCCCTCCTTACACCTAAGGGAGTGAATACAGGGAGAAGTCCTTCTGCCAGCTAAAGTATCATGAAATTCCTGTCGAAAAACTAATTTATCCATATTTTGTAACTGTTCCTTAGGGTGTCCAACCACCCCAGCATAGGTGGCCTTGGCCCATTGGAGATTAGTGTCCAAAGAAATGTTAGTAGCCATTCAGATTGGAGGAGAACCACCAAAGGAGAACCAGCAAGTCAAAATCCAATGGAACAGTAAAACCAATGGAGCAGTAAACCAAATGATAGCTAAAGACTTCCCCACCAAAACCAACAGCAAGTTAGACTTCAGCAGAGAAAATCCACCCCAATCGCCAAAATGGTCACCACGACAGACCAAGTGGTGACCCCAGCTCAAGTAGGGAAGACCGAAATAAGAACCAACCAAAAGAACAACAACAAACAAGAGCTACAGAATCTGAGAAAAACCAATTGTAGGAAGAACCTCTAGACCACCAAATAAACAACAATGAAGAAGAAACAACTCTCCTACACCAACCTACAAACCGACCAGAACAGGGAGCCATGGAAACCATAGCAGAGCACCAGCCGCCACCCCAAACAGCTCCATTATTATATTATATTGACTCCGCTACGGTTCCAGCTCTACTTTCCACTATGATAAGAAAATTTTGTCTTCATACATCAGTAATGTGGTTGTGTCCCTCATGGACCAGATTACCCTTCTTCCATTGACACACTTGGCTCATTTCTTTCATAGGCAAGTATGGTCAACTCTTTTGGATTCCTGGACCGTCTATTTAAATACCTTTAAAATGAGAGATTTGGGAGTGCTTTAGGACTTTATCTTTTGTGTGGGGTCGAACCCCCAATAGGTGTGTTGGTGGACTAGCCCCACCTGTGTGTTGTGCATTCTAAAGTTTGTCCCGCACAGGGTCCTAAACTTTAGGTTTTCCTCGTCTCCTTTGGGTTTGGTTTGTTCTTCTACAAAGCAAGCACAATTGATGCATTTTTTTCACTTTTTAAATTTGTTATTTGCAACTCTTTAATCACATATGAACATTAAATTTGAAGAACTAAAATAAAAAGGGGGGGATGTGCCCAGTCCCATCTTTCAAGTGAAAAAATGTTATGATTATAAATAATTAAGTTGATGGACATACTGCCCAATCTTCAATTTTTGAGATTTTTTCTAGTTCGCAATGAAGAAGCCATAATCAGAGGATTCAAAAAGACGTCAAGGCCCAGATTACAAAGATGACAGTTGTTGATGAGATTCCTTAGTATGAGGAACTCAGATTAACTGAGACCTCTCCTCTCTTTTGAGGAAGCAAGTTTCATCCACTGATGGATATTATTGGACATGAAAACTTGTATAGGATCGATGCTACTCTGTCGATACTTCATGGTCACCCCTATCTCTAAAGTCCATATAGTATTCGAGAGATTGACTGTTAAGTAGGGGTGTTTAGTTGCTGAGTTATTCAGATAGGTTGGATGTGCAATGTCACCTTAAATGAAGATGAAAATTTTGAAAGATGTCAAGCCTGCCTGTCAGTCCCATAAGTCAGTTGAAGATCAACTAGCTCGTATTTTTGTCAGGTTCCTCTACGGAAGTTGATTTAGTAATGTTACAAATATCGCTGTTGTTGCTCCAGGGCATGTAGGATGTTGACCGGTCATGTCACGACTGCTTCCGAGAGTACTTCCCATTTTTTTTTCACAACCATGTTCCAAAGGAGAGTAAGGGGAAGAAGTTACCTCGTGATGTATTTTATCGGCACCGCGAGGAGCAAACCTCACTTCGACGCACCGATGCCTCTGCCGAGACACTCCGTCTCAAGGCATTATCAGCAAAAAAGAAGGTATGTGTACCCAAGGTTGACACACCAGTACCATTAAGCCTCAGGGCAAGTCTGTGGAATGAAGCAAAGGTCCAAGTTAACGAATGTTGTTATCGAGTTTGATGTACAGGAGAGTCCTCCAGATCTCAAGAAGATTCAGGAAAAAGTCATTAAAGAAAAATTTGAAAAACTAAAAGCTGACACTTCTGATTTGGTAAGAGAGCATTAGGTGTCCATTGATGATGATGAAGGTTTTGATTTTAACAATTATCTCAACTAAGAGTTCATGGAGATTAATGTCACCGAAACTAGAGTCGCTTCATTTGTGCGCTATGCCCAACCTCTTTTTGAAGAGGACGCCATAGATGACTAGCAAAGGGATGTTCTATTAAGAGATGAACAAATAAGCCAAATGGAGAAATGAATGGAAGAGATGGCCACCACCATGGGCTATAGTTCATTGATAGTCTCAATCCCAGTAGCTAGCTTCCCTAGAAGTCAATTAGCCAGAGATAGTTCATATTACAGACGAGAGGAGAAGAGTTGCCTATGCCAACAGATATGATAAGCACAAGAAGGATTCCCCACAAAGTGTAATACCAAAGAAAGATATCAAGTAGTTGGTTGAACAAAAAGTTCGGGAGGTCTTAATCCAGTTTAAGGGTGGTGGACAAGTTTAAAGGAGAGACCTTCCCCGGAGGATTTCGATGCCATATGCTACCCCAAGGGTTTTATGTCATCAAATTTCAAGACGTTCGATAGGACCTGAAATCTCAAATAGCATGTAGCACATTTTCAAGCCAGTTGTGGCATCACCAAAGGTAATAAAGCCTTACTCTTTTGTCAGTTTGTCAGCAGCTTGTCAGGGATTGCATTTGATTGGTATGCCGAGCTACCCAATAGATCACTGAATATGTTTGCTGAGTTGCAGCAGTTGTTAGTGAAGATATTTGCTAGTGCACATCACTAGATTAAGAAAAGAGATCTCATTGTTGAGAGAGAGATGCCCAACGAGACTTTCATGGATTACTTGTTGAGGTGGAGAAACTTAAGCATGAACTGTGAACCTAAGCTTCAAGAACAACATGCAATTGAGATTCTTCTTAAGAGTATACATGGACCAGTAACTTTCATGCTTAAGGGGCTCACCATTGAGTCATTCAAGGAGTTACTCAGCAAGGCTAGCAGCTTGAAGGAGGAGATCTAGCATATAGATTCCTAAGAAAAGTTAGAGAAGTCCAGGACAACCAAGATATTCAAGAAGAAGCCTAGGACAATGGCGATAGTTTAAAAAGGGAAGTATTCGATAAAGATTCCAGTTGAGTAGTCACATTAGGGTCATTAGCAGTAGCCCCAACTTAGCCAGCCTCAGCATCAGTACACTAAGTAGCACGGTCAATCCAACCAACATCAAAGGGCATACAAGATAGATAATAGACAGGGTTCAGCCATCGCAGAATGGATGAAGAGAGTATATTCCTTCAAAGATGAAGCAGTGTCAAAGATGTTTGGGATTCTGATGAAGAGGTATGTGTTCAGACTGTTCGAGCCGAAGAAACTAGAAGAAGTTGATAAGAAGGATCAACCCAACTACTGTCCAAACCACAGGATACTCAAACATACCATAGGGAGATGTTTTAGTTTCATTGATTGCGTCAAGAGGTTATGTAAATATGATTTTAGCCAAGATGGTTGGAGCACAATTTGGAGCAGATCATCTAAGAAGATATTTAACCAGATTCAGACCACTTCGTTACAAGCCACCGCTCACAATCTACAGCCTGACAAGCCCAAGTTGGAGATTTCATCAGAAAAGCTGCCGCAACCTAACAAGAAGAAGGATGTGATTGTGAAGATTGATAGCACAAGGGGTACTATAGGTGCTGCCTCTGTTAGATTTGTTGTCATAGATTCATGGGAGATTCGAATCCTTGACCGTGTAAGTTTATCTTTTTGCCCCTCTGTGGTCTGTTGAAGACAATAATTTTGATTTCAGCTACATTTTAACTATCTTGAGTGATAATGTAACGGACTGTGACCAATCTAACCCCAATATGAATTACTAAACCGATCCTCAAATCATACTAAAATCTAATGAACTCATTAACGAGAATGTAACAGATGCCAACGACATCAGTTACCATAGTTCCGAGGGCAAGGACCCAGTCCTCTAGTGCCAAGGGGGACCGTTCACCATCAATTTTGATTTCTTCAATACAGAAGAAGCACCAGAAGTTTTGCCTGCAACATCACAAGAAGAAGAAGAAGAAGAGATTACATGGAAAAATCTGAGGAGTGGAAAGGTATTACCTCTGAGAATGGCTCCAACAGATAAAGTAAAGCAAATAGTTACTTGCAAAGAGTCTCCTCCACTGACAGAAGAAATGCCTATTCCAAGTAAAATTGGAGGCACGTACATGGTGGATTATAACGTAATAGATCATCCTATGAGGTTGTCAATTAAACTACGCATCTATGATGCTCTAATCATATCAAAGGAGATGAGCAAAACACTGGCTACAGCCTTACATGACCCTGAAATTTTCTTAGCTCAGTTGGTCAGCACATCCTCATATAAAATTTGTTTGTTGAAGGAATAGCCTGGTGTGACCTTTACCAATGAAGATCTGCTGCTTGGTAGTACTGATCATAACTGACTGCTCTACATTTTAGTCAACATCGTCAAATTCATGCTTTCTAGGGTTTTGGTAGATCTAGAAGTGTCACTTAACTTAATGAGTTTACGGACGTTAGCTTACTTGGAAATTGATGCTTATAAGATCATTGCTGACAGGATGATGCTAACAAAATTTAATCTGAAAGGAGAAAGGGCTCTTGGATCAATCACACTGCTAATGAATGTTGGAGAGCTAATAACAACCACAAAGTTTCATATCATCGATTTAGAGACCTCCTTC